GTAATGTCACTATTTTGATATAAATTAAATGTTATATTGATGTTACAAATGATATATTTAAATAGCTATGAAATAATCATGCTATTTTTCCTACTAGCAATCTGTTAACCGATTATGTCAACAAGCTGTACAGAACATAAGTTTGATATGAACTTGATTGTCGCAATATTTTGTTCGAATTTGCCAGCAAACTATTAGCGATTCAACAAACACAAACTCATTCTTCTGTTCACTGAGAATGCAAGTAGAATTGATATCTCGATCAGATACTAACTGATGATATACGAACAATAAATATATATCTATCTATATATATCTTTATATGCGTCTATATCTCATCTTTATTATAATAAATATTTTAAAGATATGAGCAACAATTCGATATTTAAAGTATTTTTCTGATCTATTCAGTATCTCGATTATATATAATGTTATTCAAAACAAAATACAATATTTATTATGATTTTTATCTTATATACAATGTTCGTTTCGTTTCGAGTGAACAACATTGATTCACTCTGCATATATGTTATATCAAAAAAATTCATCATTTTTGATAGATCGGAATTTTATAAAGTAATATATTGCAAGGAATGAACTGGTTTTATAAAGTAATATATTGCAAGGATTGAACTGGTCACGAGTGCATTGACGTATATTAAATTATAAATGTTTCCTATAAAACAGCTGAGTGCTGCAATTATCTGTCAAGAGGGTCCGAATAAGCATTTTGTATGTGATTGTATTATTATCTCAATAAAAATGCATAATTAACGTAGCGAATGAGTTATTTATTTATGCTTGAGTTATTAATAGCGTCATATGATAACATTTTATACGCAAATAATGACGCTTCTAACTGCAATGACGCGAAAGATAAAATGTAATAATAATTATTATTACATTTATAAATTATACATTTTAATAAGAATTTACTTTAAATGATCTTATTAAAATGTTATAAATCCAAATCAAATGGCTTAATTTTGTTTTGTTCTTTCGATATCTTCTTAATGTAAAAATGCCTTTCAGATTATATTGTTTATCGTTTACTTTGGCATGCTGGCACCTTTACTTTTTTATCAGATACGGTTTCCGTAAGAATATTTATTGTAAATCTCTCTGTCGCAATCCTTATGTACAAGCACGATTCCGGTAAATAAGTAATCGTATCCGCCGTATCTTTTGCCGTATCTTTCTAAACCTTGATATAAAAGCAAGATTGGCGGAATGGCCATCAGACGTCTTCTGACATCTTACATTCTTACTCGCGTTAACAAAGAATAAAGGTAAATGCCCATATGACACAAAATATTTTAACAATATTGCCAAAACGTTGCGACATTCTATATTACAGGGTAAAGAAGAAAAATGGCCATGCAATCCGTGAGGCAGAGATTCTTCTTCAGCATTGTAAAGGAATCGGAGAAGAGAAGATTTTTGAGTTCCCAACAAATAATTGATCGCGATAACAAATACGGCGGTGTACACTTCAAACCACTGCCGGTTGTTCTCTCTCGCGGGGAAGGTGTCTACCTGTGGGACACTGATGGAAAGAAGTATCTTGATTTCCTGGCAGGATTCTCGACCGTCAGCCAGGGCTACTCTCATCCACGTCTGGTAAAGGTAATGAGAGATCAAGCTGGAAAATTAGCGCATACGTCAAGAGCCTTCTACTCGGAACCTCATGGCGAATTGGGAGAATATCTAACGAAACTCTTGGGATGGGATCGGTTTTTACCTATGAACACAGGTATGGAATTATATCAAGAAAAAAAATTGATAAATTGCTTCAGATAAGTACAAACTTCTTTTCTTTACTATGGTAAAATTTGGATGTATTCATTCCTTTTTTTGTTGCAGGTGTCGAAGGTGGTGATACAGCCGTAAAATTGGCCAGACGTTGGGGCTATAGAATAAAAAAAGTTCCGAGCGGCAAGGCTGCCGTCATCTTCGCGAATGGAAACTTTTGGGGTCGTTCATTGGCGGCCTTATCGGCTTCAACGGATCCAAACTGCTATACGGATTTTGGTCCATATGTGCCTCTTTTTGAGAAAATACCGTACAATGATCCAATTGCTTTGGAACAAAAATTTCAAGAGAATCCCAATATCTGCGCGTTCATGATGGAACCCATACAGGGAGAAGCTGGCGTTGTTGTGCCAACTGTAAGTTCTTATCTTATTAGGGAAGATTCGATTTTTTCCTTCCTATTGATATCAAAGCATTAATATCATTATTTTTTTGTCAATGACATAGTTCTTTTACTTTCAATTTATTAGGATGGTTATCTGAAACGTGTGAGAGAATTGTGCACGAAATACAATGTTCTATGGATCGCCGACGAAGTGCAGACTGGTCTTTGTAGAACTGGTACACGTTTGGCAATTGATCATGAAGGCTATAGACCAGATATTCTTATTTTGGGAAAAGCACTTTCCGGCGGAATGTACCCGGTTTCCGGTGTTCTGGCAGATGACGAGGTATCTGAAAAAATTTCATCGCGAAATAATTTAAAATATTCGAATTTTGTTCTGTATCTTGAATAACGTTAATAACATTATGAAAGTATTTTGAATTGTTGATAAAGTTTGACGTAGGTGATAAAGCATACATCCACTTGTATAGATTGTATAGATTGAAAAAAAGCGATATCGCTCATTTGGAATGATAAGGCCAATTGAATTCATGATGATATTTCTAACATTTCTTTTTCAGATAATGCTCTGTTTGGAAACAGGTTCGCATGGGAGCACCTTCGGTGGGAGTCCGCTCGGAAACAGGGTCGCTTTAGAAGCGGTAAAGATTTTGGAAGAGGAAAATCTGGCAGAAAACGCAAAGAAACTTGGAAAAATTCTGAGAGAAGAACTAAGTAAGGTGCCAAAGGACATCGCGACAGAATTCCGTGGACGCGGCCTTTTAGCCGGTCTCGTGATTAACAAAGGTATCAATGATCATGAGATCAATGATTCCACTGTATCACTGATAAACTGTCGACAAATTAAAAACTCGTTGCGCGATACGAGATAAAATACTAGTTGATACATATAAAATTCCCGAACCATATCTAACAAGAAGTGGTTTATTATGATACGACGTATGATATGACTTTTATTTACAGAATTCGCCGAGGGTTGGGACATCTGTCTGAAGCTGAGAGATGCTGGATTGTTGACGAGACCTACACACGGTCAAATCATCAGAATATCACCTCCATTAACGATCACAGAGGAACAACTGCGAGAAGGAATAAATATTCTCACTACAGTCCTTAAGAGCTACGAATAAAAAATTTAAGATATCACCAATATTGTATGATAAACTTTTTTTACGATAAGATAGATTACCTTTTTTTTCCATATTATTCTATTCATTTAAAACAAATGCATTCTAAATTTCAAAGATTCTTAGATTTCTCGAAGAAACAATGTGATTGTAGAAACGATGTGATTGTAAGAAAATAAAAAATTGTAGCCACAATATTGTAATATAAAAGGAAATCTTAACAACTATAAAATATATATTCACAATGATTGTTATCTACATAATTTACAATTCATTATATAAATTATATATGCGATTCGTTGTGCTTCTTTAAATGTCTCGTCAGACTAAAGGATTGTGAGAACATTTGATTACACTGATTGCACTTATAAGTCTTCGAACCGGTGTGTAAATTTAAATGCCGTTTCAAATGATTGGCCAACTTGAATCTCTTTCCGCATAATCGGCATTGGTGTTGTCTCAACGTGCCGTGTGAAGCTTCGTGGCTTTTAAGATGACTCGATTGCGCGAATCTTTTTCCGCACAATTTACACGCGAAGGGTTTCACTTTCGTGTGAATTCGCAAATGCTCGACCAGATTACCCTTTTGTACAAAACGCTTGTCACAATATTCGCATTTGTGTACCCTCGACGTTTTGTGTGTTCGCAAGTGCATTTTTAAATTATAATTATGACTAAATTTTTTGTCGCAGATTTCGCATTGCACCAAGCCCCTGCCGGTGTGAAGTCTCTCATGAGCTTTCAAATTTTTTAAAAGTCGAAAACGTTTATTACAAGTGCCGCACTCGTAATCTTTACTCTGTGACGTATCATTACTTTTATTGTGTACCTTTATGTGCTCCTCCAAGTATGATGGATATGAAAATATTTTATCGCATACTTTGCATTGATGCACGTTGGTTTTGGTGTGCAGTCTCATATGTGCGCTGAGTTTGCTTTTCGATGCGTAAGCTTTATCACAGCTCAGACATTTAAACGGTTGTTGGCCAGAGTGAGACAACTGATGAGTAAATAATTTAGATTTTTGCGTAAATTGTTTTGAGCACACTTCGCACTGATGTTTCTTGGTATGGACGTCTTCTGTGGTTTTTATATCGAGAGATTGCTTGTAAGCATCGTCACTTGGACATCCGTGATATTCGATCACGAGCTGCCTGTCCTTCCCAGGCGACTTTATAAATCTCAAGTTTTCTGCGATAGACATGTTGTTCTCGGGATGCATCGTTACATTTTGCATGCGCTCCGAGCTGCTTTCCTGAACGCCATCAAGATCAATGTTTTCTGGAAAGTTTATATTCTGCATTCCGTCGGTGTCATCCACGGTGGATCTCTGGTATGACAAGTTCTGAATGGGATTGTCAACGGAATGGATAGACCTCTCATAGCTTAAGTTTTGTGGGATGTGGTTAGAATTATCACAGATCTCAATGTTTTCGTTATCGCACGATATATCAACATTTTCCGTACTGTGTGTTATATTGTGATTTATTAGCTGTCTTCTATTGGTAAAAGTATGATTGCACAAAGAGCAATGTAAGGCACAAGCAGCTCGATTTGAACTTTCCTCGTTCAGCGACATAGTATGCATCATATTTGATCTAACTAATGGAGACAACTGTGTTGGGATATTATCATTTGCAAAGTTCGAACCGACGTGGGTAAAATTAAGATACGGATTCTGAGACTCCACAATGTGCATGTGCTGCATAGGTATGTTATCTTGCATAAAGGGCAAGTGCAGTCGATTATGGGCACAGAGTTCTTGGTAATTCATAAATACAGCGCCACATTCTACGCATTTTAATGTCTTATGGGGATTTTGCACTGGCACAAACCCTTGATTCTGTTGATTCTGATAGAGTTTACAACCAGAAACAGTGGTATACGATGTTAATCTGGATACCTATGTTTAAAAACATTCTTGTAATGACATAGATACTAAAGCAAAAGCATAAAAATTTGTTTACCTTCAATGCTGCTTGCCTCAAAGCTCTGTCAGCAGCACGACATTGCTCTCGATATAAAAGAGCTGATTCTGCTCTGGTAACACAACGATCGCACATCTTCTCAGGCAAACCATCTCCTTGCCAGACCTGGACGAGCATTCAGATAAAATGGAAATTTAAATCTCCGGATTTATATTGAACTTGAAATATGAAATATGTCACTTACCTCCAAACAAGAGAGGGATCGTAATTTAGCGGCGAGTGAGGAACCAGCCGGTCCCACAAAGAGACATACCATTTTGTCGCCATCCTCCCGCAAGCAGGTACGACACAACTTGCTAATATTTTCACTGTCGATTTCTTTCGTGACTATAAACATTTCTCCGTCGTTTGAACAAATCACTACTCGAAAACGCTATCCGTGTTTCTAATTCTAATTCTCTTTTTCTAAATTAGATAGCTTTAATTTGTTGCTGAATAAATTCTTTTGACGCATTTATCTTTGATATATTTTACTCGTTGCCTTTCACATGTTCTTATCTGTTTTTAGATTTTTCCTGTGCTCCTGTTTTGATATTTTCGCGTCGTCCATGCGGCTGTCAAATTTCCTTCGTTTACTCCGCCGATGCGAGATGTCGCCATCGTATCAAGAAATTCTGTTTCAGAATTCATCAGTCAGGGAGAAGGAGGGGGAATACCGGGACATTCTAAAACGCCGGCTTCCCCAAAGATTAGAAATTCAGATGAAATTCATAATCTAATGAAATTCATAATCTCTCCAAATCTGCTTTCCTTTTGTAGCTGCATATCTTTTAGTTACTTCAAATGAAATAGGCGTGTAATTAGACATCAGGCAAAAATCTGAAAAAGTGCAAAAAGTTCAACTACAAAGAACGAATCCTTACATGTGGTCAAAGGGATCAACTCGGCCCTCATTGTATACAAACACAGTATTTATTAACAATCACATATTTACATGGATTAAATATGCTTCGTAATGTAAATAAAGACCGCAGATGAGAAGTAATTAAATTCATGCAATGAATAAATTAAGAGAGGCTGAAATTAGCGCATCGTTTCACAGAAATATACTTTTACTCACGCGGATGGTACCACCGTCCTCTGAGTTTCAACGACACTTTAAAAAGGTACAGAAATATCCTTTAACGATATAAATCTTTGTTTTATTATATATATGTATGATTATCATTACATTGGAAAATTTTAATACGAGCTTTCTTTTACAAAAGGGTATGTTTAATAAACCTAATACGACAGGTTTTCTACATGTGTCGCATTATCTGTCAACTGTGTATGACGCCAGACTTTTTAAACAAATGGTCAGATGGCCGATTTTATGCAAAAGAGACGAAACAACGTATCGCGTCGAGATGAAGAACTTCTTGAACGTTCTGTCACGAGACAACCCTGACCTCGGTTTTCCATCGGTACTGATGTCCCATTTGATCCAATCAGGAGGGACGAAATTTCAGATTATTATGTGGAAGCTATCACAACTCGCTCTTAAGACTTACCTCACGAGGGAACGTACGTAATAATGTAGGAAGACAAAATGTTACACGAGAGATATCGTATTCCCACGTTCAATTATTATTTTATATCCGAGCTATGAATTTTTCAGTTCAAGGCGAATTGTTGAATGCACCACGCTCGAGTCCGGCGCAGGATTTAACAATAGCATACTTCAATAATATAATTGCGCAAAAATGCGATGCTATAACAGAGACTTGTAAAGAGACGAAGAAAACTGCGGACGCTGTAAATGATTTTCTAAAGTAAATTATTACAGTCCCTTGTATGATTACATATACATTAATTTATACATAATCTCATTATGTATTTTAGTGACGAGATCAAAATATTAAACTTGCAAAAATCGGAGATTTTCGATAGAAAAGAGAATATAAAAAGATTAGTCCTTGGTTTGCTGGCTCACCCATTAATTCAAAGGCGATTGATGGACATCGATGATTTAAACGTCACAGACTGTTAGTATCGTAAACATTTTTTTCATAATTTATTCATTAATGTTTTATATTTTTTTCCCCTATTATTGTAGTATGGAAAAGAAGCATTTTCAAAAAGATTCAATATATATACAAAAAGAATAAGGAATTTGACGAACTAGAAGAATCTTGCAATCTTTTGTGCAAACTTATTTTGAGAATAAGTTCGAATCCTGGAACACTCGATGCAGATAAACTTCCCGAAATTCGCTGTACCAATCATCTGTTATGTACAGAATCAGAGATACAGGTGAGGTAATAAAATAGAAATGTCCTATGTGATTCTCGATAATCACTTTTTTTTCTGTTTAAGTATTTGATTCGTAATTCACACGTGGATGGCTCCATCGTGTTCTCCGCTTTGTTGTCGCTGTTATACTTGGCATCCACGCAAATACTATATCGCATAAACATCGCCGATTTCCCAGACCTGTCGCGGTGCACATCGTCCGTTCAAAATGCCTGCAAAAAGATGAAATCTCTACAAACATTGTTCGGTGCATTGATCGCGAGAATTGATGGTGTATGCAGGGATGAGCAATGTGCCTTTTGGGAGATGAAAAATGCCTGCAATTTCAACAAGAACAGCATATTAATTGCAAATCGTAACATCCTATTGCAATCTCCAAAGATCAATTTCAATCTCGGCCAATGTATGGACGATTATCGTTTTTATGAGAAATTGTATCTGTCTCCAATGGAAGGTGCTGCATGCTAAAATCATATCGTCTCGAAATTAAATGCGAATTGCTTCGTTACAAAAAGTGTGTCAATTTTCAGGCAGACACAAACATTTATTTAAAAGGTACAAGCGTGAATGTTACCGGTTGCGTGAGTTGCCCACAGTTTTATCAGACTTCAGCAAATCCTGGAGTAATATGAACGGTTGGCTGTCTCCTCGTATACACGTTAAGTGTGAACAAACTTTGTTCAAGGGAAAGCCACTCTCGCCTTTGTATTCTCGATTGCTGAATCATTCCAAATGGAATTTAAATCGATCCAGAGGTTTATTGTAACTTTTAATATATTTTGATACATCTATAATCTTTATCATTTGATAAGAAGAATGATGAAAATCATATATGTTCTTAGGAGACGTATCGTGCAGCCCGAGCGCGAATTACGAGGGATTAAACTTAACACCAATGAAACATTCTTCAAAAGCCGGACATCTGACAATGAACGGCTATACTGGAAGACCGAGAGATCTTTTCAGTTCTGCGATACCACCAGCCTTATCACACGTATCCTCTAATACGGAGAACGTACGAAACGCACGATTGGTTCGACAAAAGTAGAATTTATTATACCAGTACCGAGTACTTTGTCAAGTATCTGAAGAAGAGAAAATAATGTAATTTGGAGAAGTTTAGACAATATCAATTCCTTAATGTAAATTCCTTATTTTTACTAGTGTTGATTCATACATTTTAGTGTAAAAAGCATATGTAATATATTGCCCAATAGTGAATGCACAAGACTGATTGTGAAAAAGAAAATTCTCACCTTCCCAATATTTTTAAAAGAAAAAGTATCTTAGTACGCTCGGAATTAATCCATAAATTTATTAGGAAAATAAGCAATATTATATCGAGTGCTTTTTTTAACCAACTGAAAATCTTGTCATATGAGTCATATAACCTATATTAATTGAAGGCATTTTCTTTCATTTAATATAAGATACAGAGAAATTAAAAAAGGGATTTAGATAAACCTGTGTCATATAACCCTAGGGTTGAAGATACACAGTCGAAAACAATCCGACATTCTCCAACTGGACGAAAAAAAAAGGCATTTTCTTTTACTCAGAATTACACATAACTTTATTGCGAGAACTGACGAAATAACTTAACAAGAAAGCATCATGCTAAATTTTAACAAGAAAGTAAAATGTTCCCAATAGAAGCACTTTTAATCTCCTCTTCAAAAAAAACGGACTTTTTCTTTCTACAAACAAAAACCTCGAGCAAGTTTCGAATCCATCTTCCAAACGCGATCTTCAGCATCCCAGACGAGCGCCTGTCGCGATCATTCAAATCTCATCGACGTGGAATTCGCGCTGACGACAGATCGATCGGGATCGGAATCAATCGCGGCGGTGTCGCGGCATGACGAATGCAGTAACCCGCAGCGATATGAGGGGGAGAGAAAAAGGGGGAGAGAGAGAAAGAGAGAGAGAGAAATGGCGAAGGAAAGAGAGAAGAGAAAATGCATACGCGTCGCAAATATGGCGGTAATCCTATCAGCTGATAGCATCCGCCGCTAGGATGACGGTCCGCATTTTGGTTAATCGGGTTAGATCGCAATAGTTATCTCCCCTTCTCCCCACGTCGCCGAGACGCGGTCGGCTGCGCGTGTTGGCCTGCCTACGTTTCACGTTATACGTTACGCGTGTGACAATACGTGTGATCCGGATGACGCATCGACGACGATGCTAATGCATTCCCCGTACGCTGGCACGTATACGTATAGCCGGGAGCAACCGAGAACGTGCACGCGTCGCTGACAAGGAAGGAAGCCAGTACTCGGGAATGTCGCAAGGTAGATAAGGATAAGTCGTCCGTCGGCTCGACTAGAGATATCCGACCTGACCCGAGTTAGCAGTAGGATAACCGGAGAGAGAGAGAGAGCGAGCGAGGTCCGTTTTGAGATCCTCGCGGGGCGGGATCGTCGTCGCGCGAGCGAGCAATCTGTGATGAGCGACTCCGAACAACGGCAACTGCACGTGCCTTACCGAGAGTATCATAGTCAGAACAATACCAGCCCCGCCACCGTCGCCGCCACCACTGCTGCCGCTGCCGCTCTGGTGGAGACCGATGCGCTGGTGGATCTGTCCATCGCGCCTGTCAGCAGCAGCAGCAGCAGCAGCCACCACCACCACCAGCGTCTGTCGTCGCAGAACGATCAGCCGCCGTCGCCAGCTGATCTGCTGCCGGACGTCGAGTTCATTCCCGGTTTGAGCAACGACCAAACTCTAGCCATAGATTCCTCCGGGATCGACCGGGAGAGCCAGCCTCTCCTCGGTCGCTTGGAGCTCGACGTTACGTTCAACAGATTTCCAGGTTCGTCTGGCTACAATGATCCATAGCTGATTGATGATTCACCATACTGTGATATCTTCTAAGTGTTTTTTCCAAGAATTATATATATTTATTGTCATATATGAAATTACGTTTGACATATATACTTGTAGATGATCCGCAGTTCTCGGAATTGGTATGGCAGGCTGAGTGCGCGATAGACAATGGGGTTTACCCAGAGAGGATATATCAGGGTTCCAGTGGAAGTTACTTTGTTAAAAATCCAGCGGGGGTAAGATGTAGCTTCTAATCTGCTCAAAAGTAAGAAATTTAGGCGCTATTGTCACTGCCAATATAGCCTAATGTAGTGATGTGCAGGCGACGATGATCTCGTACTGTCTTGTCAGAAAATTATAGGTGTGTTCAAGCCAAAAGACGAGGAGCCATATGGCAGGTTGAATCCAAAATGGACAAAATGGATGCACAAGCTCTGCTGCCCGTGTTGCTTCGGCAGGAGTTGCTTGATCCCGAATCAAGGATATCTAAGCGAGGCGGGCGCTAGTTTGGTCGATCGCAAATTGGGCCTCGGTATCGTGCCGAATACTAGAGTGGTTAAACTCGTCAGCGAAGTATTCAATTATCCTCGCCTGGATCGTCAGAAGGCGCGCATGAAGCAGGCCATCATGGACCAGTTCCCTACAGTAGGATCGCATTTCAATCGCATCGGCCTACCACCGAAAGTCGGTTCTTTCCAAGTCTTTGTGGATGGTTACAAGGACGCCGACTATTGGTTGAGGCGATGGGAGAACGAGTCCATGCCAGCGCGGCTAAGTCGGGAATTCCAACTTCAATTCGAGCGTTTAGTCATTCTGGATTATATCATCAGAAACACAGACAGGGGTAAATATGATAAAATCACTTCTATTTATAATAGCAATAATTATATAATTTCCTTTTTTTATGACTAATATTCTGTTTGTAGGTAACGATAATTGGTTGATCAAATACGATACTAGCGTTAGTAAGAACGGATCTGAGCAGGGTGAGGTGAAAATCGCGGCGATTGACAATGGCCTGGCTTTCCCCTTTAAACATCCAGATTCTTGGAGGGCATACCCTTATCACTGGGCATGGCTAACTCAGGCGAAACAACCATTTAGCGAAATTACGAGAGAGTTAGTTTTACCACAACTGTCAGATCAGAATTTTGTACAGGATCTCTGTGACGACCTGTATCAGTTGTTCAAAGTACGTTCCATGTGATAGTAAAAAAGAATGAGCGCATATTCCTGTTTACATATCATATATCCTGGTTACATATGTTCCGCTCAACTTAATTTATCTACTTCCGCAGCAAGATAAAGGCTTTGATCGGCATCACTTTGATAGGCAAATGAGCGTAATGCGCGGTCAGATTTTGAATCTACAACAGGCTCTGAAGGACGCCAAAAGTCCCGTTCAACTGGTACAAATGCCGGCTGTAATCGTAGAAAAGTATATATATTTTTATTCATTTATACTAGTTAAGTTTAAATACTGATACTGAATCTCACAGAGTTTCATATATTATTTTGTTTTAGGGCCAAAGGAAACGGCGCTCCCAGGTTATTTTCATTCTCTGACACGTTTACTCAGCGCTTCCAGAACAAGAGTCCGTTCTTCTCCTGGTGTTGAAAACAAGAATTCACGATTTGAATCGAGTGCTCGTGAATAAGTGTCAGTGGTATCAGTGATATCAGTGTCAGTCATATTGTTCTGTCCACCGTGGAAAATATTATTACTTATTTTTCTAAGTTTATCCTATACCTCTACCTCTCTTTTTTAAGTTTTATTTCGGTGGCTGCAGATCAATCAAGGAGGACGCAAGATTCTTTTTAGACTGTCGTGTATTTATAATTTTTCTTTTTCTTCTCTCTCTTTCTCAGTTAAATTGGGATATAAGATATTCGTACGACTATATTGTATACAGTAAATATATATATATAACGTTAAAATACATTTTCTTTTAATGCGCTTAAACGTGCGGATGAAGTGTAAAAAGACAAGCGTATGAAATTTAGATATATAATCCATAAACGAAAAAAAGACACAGGCACAGGCGCAAGTTGTACGAAATGTCTCTCGTGTCTTCCACACGTGCACGTACATATATATATATATACACACATTGTAGCTTGTGCCAATTGGTAACCATGAAAAGAGTACATAGATCAATACCTAAAGAACGCCTAATGTCATACTACATTCTTGAAAGATATAAATATCCTATATTCGAACACACGATATTCTCTTTCTTCTGTTCTCACTCGAGAAGGTGACATTAGCTGCTCTAGTTCCGCGAGGTGTTGATCGCTTAATACTTAAAGCGCTGTATAAAATTTTTGGAAATTAAACTGTGATCCTTGTGGTACACATGTCACATCACGTCGCATATGTACATACCGATAACAGGAATTCCATGTAGTTATACATTAAGTACAAATGAAATTGCTACTGGAACACATAAATGAAATAGAGTTTCTAGCGCAATTTTTATGAAATTGTATTTTTGCCTATTTTCTCTTTTATAACATATATCATAGCGTGAGAAAAATAGAATCGTGTGAAAGCTTTTGCGAGTTTGAAACTGATATCACGATGACGTATGTCACAAGGATAGTACGAAGTTAGTTCTGAACCATGTCAAGCGTAATCAGATTTTTAAAATGTTATGAAACTCTAATTCCAAGACATTTTGAATGTTTTGATATTTATTACATCTTTTACGCGGAGTAATATTAATTGTGCAAAATTGTGCATTGTACATATATATGATACGATAAGAAAAAAGATTTGAAGCTGCAATATGGAGGTTGTTGAGACTTGTTCAAAAAGGAAGGCCTTGCCATCTGCCAAAACGATAACATGTCCATGCAAGACAAAAGTAATTTTTTTCTTTGATATCTTCCAAATTTCACCGATCAATTCTAATATTTTTGACATAGTGCTAAAAAATCTACACTATTATGACTCCGTACACAACGTTGAACATTTCTTCATAATAATTTAATTAATAAATTACAGATTATTAATATAAAGATAATTTATTGTTAATGTTGGGTTGTAATTATAATTGTATATTATATTAGAATATATAATATACAATATTAGTTATTATTAGCAAAGTAATTTGAATATTTATGTTATTAATCGTAGTACAAAAGATACGTGCAGCCTCCACGTGCAAAATCCTTCGCACCGGAGCAATTATACAAAGTACCATCGCAACAATTCGAAGACAGAACGACGTATCACTTATCTTATTTAGATATGGATCGCGCAGCGGCACGTTGTGCACGATTGCAACCAATTCGGCCCGTCCACAGTCTTCAAAAAAGTACTGGCAAATTTTTTGACGAAACGATAAACAAATTATGCTATAAACCCATATGGCAAATCGTTAAAGCAAAGCCTATCATACCGAAACGTAGGTAAGACAAAGTATCTATGTCTCATCATTATGTATGTCAATATTTATGTTGACAAAATATTATCTAATATAAATAGAAAACTTCTGTATTCAATGAAAATATATTAAAATTGTGCAGTATCTTTTGTACATCTAAAAACTAAAAACGGTTTCGTTTAATTACATATCAAAATCCTTTAATTATAAGATGAACAAGTTATGATTTAGAAATATAAAATCTCATATCAAAAATAAAAGGTTCGCCTATACATTTCTTTCTTTTTTGTTTTTTGGTGATCTTTAGCAGAGAGCTAAGCTCAAGAATTCGAGCTAACTTGAAAAAAGATACTTTCTATTTCTTTTATTAAAAATTAACAAAAAAAATGATATGTTAATTTGGCAAATTAACATCATTTCTTCTTAATAGACACACTTATAAAGTTTGAGATGTTTAGAATGAATAAGTTAATGTAATTATTTTGTTAGACCGGTGACGGACATGGGTACGATGGAAACTGTAACGACGGTTCGTCACGATTACGTGGCAAAACACGTGGAAAGACCAGAGATGATTATACCCTGCGGAAATATTCGCACAAGTCCGGCTCCGCTGGATGATAGAACGATGGCAAGACTGTCTTACATGTCTCCAGGACCTATCAAACCTGTAATCAGTTTCAAACCGACATTAAAATACCAACCACCGAGTCAGCCGCTTCCCAAAGAGACTACACAAAAACTAAGCTATCAGCCCTTTCCCATTGATAAAAAAGAGTTTCTTCCTTGGGCGGTGAAACCCGTGTACAAGTAAGTATAAAATGTGATTTTGAGCTGCATTCTGCTGCAGGATGATTTTCTTTTCTAAAGAAAAAAAAATATATTCTAATTAAAACAATTTTTTTTTTTGGAAATATGAATAAAATTTCGCTCTCCTTCTACTGATGTATTATTTATAGAAATGTTCCCTCCAATGCTCCAGTGCGTTTTTCTGTAGCATAAGAAATGACATTAATTTAAATATTTGAAGGCCACCGGACATCGCGATGTGCGACAAAACCACGTATTCCCAGAGTTATATGGAAAATGATGTGGCTCCCGTGAAACCCTTCCTTCCTGTCGCGACATACGTATTTCCTTACGGTGCAGAATTTGCAGATAAAACAATCTACAAGGAGAGTTATTTACCAGGTGATGCGGAACGCATTGTGCCGTTTGTTCCTTGCGGTAATATCTCTATCCCCGATGTAAGAATGGCCACCGATACGACTAATAAGGTGCGACTTCCCGCCTATCCCCGAGTCGCATGATAAAAAACCCGCGGATAGTTTTTATCCCTTGATTTTCGTAATTTTTATCGTATGAGTCATCTTGTAGCTAAGTTATCAACGAGTCTGTACCGAGAAGAGGAAACCGTTTGTACCACCGCCCGCCAAGACTCTGTTAGCAACCGCCAAAATGCAATTGGAAACGACGACCCGTTGCGAATATGTAGGAAAAACGACGTTACGTCCGGATCTTATCATTCCTTCTGATAATATCCGCATGGTCGACGCACCGTTGGAAGGAGATACGATTACCGGGTTGTCTTACGTAAAACCCGATATGATAAAACCTGTTCGCAGCTACAAGCCTGTTATGCAATATTACAGGTGAGAAGGAGGAATGAGAAACATATATGTGAAGTCAAACAGTCCAAAGGACATCTATGACGCAGCTAAAAGATACTTCAAGAAACACGTTTTCTCAGGAGAAAACTGTTTCCTCCGCGAAGGACGTCTTTAAATGATTTACTTGATTTTGCAATCGATTTCTTTATTGTTTTGACTCTGGTCAATTTAATTTAGCTACGTCTGATTTAGTTTATTTGCGTAAATTAGCAAATTTAGCTCTTATCGTTATGCTCATTTTAAATCTTTTCGTGATGTGTATTCGATTGCTTCAAGTTGTAAAATCGATTTTACGATGCAATCTGTCCAGGCCAGAAATTAAGATTGATTCCGAGACGATAAATAAATTATCGTACCAAACGTGGACACCGAAACCTAAAGAGGAACTCCCTTGGGTTCAAAAAGGCAAATATCAAGTCCCGGAACATCCGATGGTCACTGATACAGTTTATCACATGAGTTATCCTGCGCCAGGTCATTTTGTTGAAGACGATTCATGCGCAGAGTGTCCTTGTCCGACTCAGCAGGATAAGGTTTCATCTGTTCCGGCAGAAGCATCTTAAATGCTTCTAGATTGAATGGTTTCTGCATTCTGAAGATAAATTACAATCTTAGAAATATTATTTTAAACTTGCAATGACCAACATTCTATAATTTTGGAACAAAAATTTTATTACGAGTAAAATTACTTTAGACTAAAAAATGAAAAATCGTTTCCTTTAAACTTTTCAATATTTATTTTCCGAGGATAATTTATATTGCAATCATATAATGTTGATAAATTAACAGATAGATAAAGTCAAGAATTTACATCTCCTCGAGATTTCGAATACGGAAAATCCGTCGGACGAATGTGAACTCTATTCTAAATATAGCGACAGCAATAAACAGCCGAGTTACTGCACGGCTCTCTATAGCAGTCGCGAAAGACTTGAGTTTGATTTCCCTGCTTTGCTACTCTATTTAATGAAAAAAAAATATTTTTAATGTATATGGAAAAATATTCCATATTCATTAAAATAGAAAAGAAAGGAATGAATAACCACATTATATTGTTCTACAATGTACTTTATTCCGCACAAACATGCGTGTCGCATTACATTGTAAAACATACAGGGGAGGGATTAGGGCACTGTAACAATTATCTATAATAACCTAGTTATTATAGTTAGTTTAAATTAAAAAGTAAGGAGATTTTTTTCACGTAAGCTCTCTGAGAAAAATCAGTCTCCTTACTTCTTTCCTTCTCTCTCTTATGTCTCTAAAAATATCTTAATTCTAAAAGTAATGTTAAAAATCAATTTATAAGATTTCAATCTAAACAACAAATGAGTCTTCGCAAGAACTTCTTAAATTATATTTTTTTAAAGATAACTTATCTCTCGATAAAATATAATATTATATAGTTTCAAGAAACTTAAGATATCACTGAAATAAAAAACTTCTTAAAAATTAATTAAAACATTTAATCTTAAATCGACGAGATTCTTTGCAGAACTTGTCGAAAAATTAAAAAATACAAAGTTTAAAAATGCGCAAGGCACTTACTTTAGGTTACATCACACAATGTACTTTTAATTCTACGTAACATATGCTGTTTTTTTCAACATTAATTTTTTCCTATTGAACAAAATGCGACAAAATTTAAAAATTTAATTAATTTCTTATTTTCCATGGCTGTTTTTTTTCAAAATCCAAAATACATACAATGGCAATTTGACTAGGTGATCGCGAAGATGATTGTTCATATGGATACACTCTAAAAATTTCTTTTCCATAAATCTCTAATTTTTATATCGTCATCTAATAATCTTAAATTTGAATTAGGTCACAAGAGGAATTTTATTTTTCTATAATCTAAAGATGTAAAAAACCAATTTATAACCATGATATGCGAATTATATTATAAAAAGAAAAGGTAAAGATAACATTTATAGTATTTTGTTAAAATGTTTCCTATAAAACGATCTAAATGTTTAACAAAAATAATTGTTGTATCAATCTCTATATGTAATACTACGTATGTAATATATATTAGATATCTGATATTATAGATATCTGTTTAAACTATAGATGTCAGTTTAATCTGCTATTCACAAGCGACATATAATTCTATTTGTAATTACATATGCTCTCTTAGCACTTCACATGTCATAGACGATAATATATAAATCTTTGTACTAAGTCTCTTTTACATTGTAAGAACTTAAGCTATATCGGTGAACGTTACAAAAAAGAATGATACATACGAGCTTAAAAAGAAAATTCGATAAAATTAATGAAACTGTCAACAGGAGCGAATACAAAAAAAAACAATTTTTGATTACTCACTAGAAGAATTGATAAATGTAAATTTGGAAACACCGAATCCAAAAATCGTTTGTTTTCAGAAAATCATAGTAATGAAAAAAAAAAATTATGATTTTTATTGTAACAAAAAATCAATTCATTAAATAAATACCTTATATCTTTGTAAGTCGCATAACATGATTTACACAAGAACTCTCGAATGTATCGCTCATGTGCGACTTGAATAGGAGAGAACAAGATCAACAGAGATATATTACATATATATCATATTGGATAAAAGTGATAACAACTTTATCTTTCTACAATATTCTAAAATATAAGAAAGCCAATTCGTAACTACAAAACACTGGCTATGAACGGTTGTCTTATAAAAGAGGAGAGAGAGAAAAAAGAAATGTAATTATGTATCATTCTAGGATACGTTAAAGTCCCTCCCCTGTTAACAATTCGCGATACATTTCGGCTATCTCTGGTGCGCTCTGGTATATGACTGATAAATAGAGATCGGAGAAAAATCGGGAATTAAACCCGCCTGTATCACGGATGTGTCGTCTCAAGAACGACGATGCATCTCGTCGGCATACCTTCTATTGCTTGGTAGACTGGTTGTATGACTGCATGAAGTCGAAGCTGAAGTTGTTCAAGTGATCCAAGTTGAGATTTTCGTCGATCGACGGCAACTCGTTGTTACCTATCATCTCCATGTAGTCCATGTCCGTTGGCTGTCCAACACCTGACTGGCCGAGACCCGGAGCGTAGCTACCACAAACCAAAACACAACTCCAATCACTGGCAATCCACGATAAATATCAAATTACCGCAGGTTTAAATCTGTCTCTCTATTGTCCGTTCTTTCCTTCCTCTTTCTATATTTTTTTTTTTTTTTAAATTTGGGAACATATATCCGCTACTTTTCGAAGGTGACCGATTATAGCCGGGATAGCCGGTACAACACGGCGTAGGAAATATAAATGACAACCACAAGAACCCCGCCCAAAACGAAGCTTGGACATCGGTCACTTGTCTCCGAGAAAAGCAAAATAGGAATCATGAATGGGTCTCTTTTTTTTTTTTTATTTATTTCTCAACTCGTGCACGGTGCATGAGTAACGAAACGGCAATATTGTTCTAATGAATTCGCGAGCAACAATGTTACTCAAATTGCCAGCTGCGAGTGATTGGAGCTGCATTTTGCAGAATAGTATCAAACATTCTGTTGTGGTTGTACCGGCTTGCTCCAGGCCTTTGCCTCTTTTTTTCTTTTTTTCTTTACAAAACGTAGCTATCTTAGCAACATATCTGCGCACTTGTTCTAAATTCATAAACGTCTCTTTAACGCGCGAATGTTTATGTTACATACGCAATACTATAAGCTATAATATGCAAAAATTATATGATATAAAAGTTACATTAAAGCCATGGATAAGCCGTTGTATTAAGAAAGTGAATAGAAAAATACTTGGCAGTTGAAAAATTGATTTCATCCTAATTCCTATTTCTAATTGATATTTTCCAATGGCTCACAATTGAGATGTGATTATATGAAACAACGATAAAAATAAACTAAATTTAACAAAATAAAGTATTTGTTCACGTCCATAAATTTATTGATAAATTTTTAATTTTTTTGGTTATAAAAATTTGTAAAAATATAATGTGTACATATGTGTGTTCGTGTATGTGATTGTGTATATATATTTTTATATGTATATTTGTATCGAAAAACAAACAATACTAAAAATGAAGTAGAAAACAGAGATCGCATATTTAATACAAATTATACAACTTAACATAAAAGAAGTAAATATATATTAAAGACAATTAATAATTAATTCTATATAAAATTGAAATGCAATTGTGCATAAAGGCACTTTGTAGCATTATAACAATTTATTCTCTTATGCCGGTATTCGTAATCCATTCTTATACTTAAGATCATCTTAAGTAAGCTTATAGTATAGCTTAAGTAAGCTAATATGACTATCTTATTGGTCAAAATATAATCTTAAGATAATCTTAAATACACGAACTGAATATGAATACTGCCCTTAGAATCTCCAAAAAAGATTGCATTAATATAAGTCAATGCCCTTTAATACTAAATTCATAGATAGCTGATTACTCAGGCTTTATTCACGCTATAAATAATAATTCAGTTGCCTTTGTTTCAGTTGTTTATTCTCAAAATGGCATTACTGATCGTTTTTGTATTAATTAATTGATATGTTTTATTTGTGAAGTGTATATATGTGTACATATATACATATATATATCTTTACACATGTATTTTTAGATATATGTATAAAAAAACTACGTATAAACATAAAATTAAGACTAAAAACTGTAATCAAAGAAACTGTATCAAAGATATATATATATACATTTGAATATAAATACATACATATATATGTATACGTATTCGTATATATGCAATATACACATACATAAATATCACTCACTCACACACACACACACACACACACACACACACACACACACACACACACACACACACACACACACACACACACACACTACTATTT